CTTGGATTGGGCCATGAGGGACCCAATTTGGCTCTGCCCTATCCTCATTGTCTTTTCTTTTTTTTTTTAATTTTTTTTTGTTTTATTTTATTTAGCCCAATCAAGTGGGCCGGACCGGCCTGGTGATTAGGCCTCAGGCTAGCCCAGCCTGCTGGAAGCCCTACTACCTATGGGTCCCAGCACGGCCCTATGGGGTCTAGGGCCGGGGCTGGCCCAGCCTGGTGGCAGTCCTACCTACGGGTCCTGGCCCGCTTTCTTAGCACGATATAGTTGACTGCGGCGTAGAAGGGTGGGGTTACGCGTTAACTCGATGGTGAGAATTTGATGTGTGAATGCATTGAATCCTTGTTTGAGCCAATGAAGCAATCTTCGCCCAAAAGCGTATTTGTTGGTAAATCACCAAGAGAATGTGAATTTATTCAACAATGATGGAGTCCAAAAAACCATTTAAGAGAAAATGACGTCAGTGTTACGGATTGAACTCCGATAATCCGACTTAAATATATATGTGTATGATTTTGAAAGGAATTTTTACGGGTAAATTAGCAACAATAATATATTATATGTAAAACACGTTCAAAATTTAAAGGGATAAGTTTATTTAGAGCTGAGGCTCTAAACAATCAAATTTCAGCCTATCTCAAAAGTTTGTTTTTTTGATGCTCAAATATGTTCAAATTGATCATCTTGATATCAATATCAATGGACATTAGAAAAAAATGGATTTCAAATTTTGGAAATAGTGTATTTTGTAACCCATTTTTAACCGTTAATTTTCAAGATTTTCAAGTTTTCATAGATCAGTCGATCTATACTATTTTTGAAGCTTTAAACTTTATAAATAAATATAAAAATATATTTTAAGGCTATCACAAAGGTTTCTACTATTGAAACCATATTTCTCGACACTATTTGAACGACACTATTTGAACGTAGGCTCTAATTTGATTGTTTAGACCCTGGGTTCTATACCAACCGCACCCAAATTTAAATGATCACATGCTAGGTAATCACTAAAAACTTGTCAATTTTAACAAATAAGAACCATTCCGGAATTGACTAAGATTAACATAGTATACTAATTTCTATTATAATAGTATTTTGGACAATCGAACCCAAGACAGAGAAATTGAGACAGCAATTTCTATAATAGGACTTTGGACAATCGACCCCAAGACCAAGTAAAATTGAGAGAGAGAGAGTACATTATAATGTATTATAATATGGGGTAATTTTGAAGGAAAAGGTTTATATAAGGGTTGCAAACTTATACAGTAGGAGTAAGGCGCACCTGAAAAAGCTAGTACAAAAGAGTGTTTCGAAGTTGAAAAATTTCAAATTGATCATCTCAACATCGAGATATATAGATATAAATAAAATAAGGAATTTGAAATATTAAAAATAGCACATCTTGTAATAAGTTATCTAGACCGTTTATTTTCAAAATTTTCAAGTGTTAAGAGATCTACTTGATCTACAACATTTTTATAATGTTAAATTTCACAATTATAGTTAATTTGACCATACAACATAGATTCATGAAGAGAAGGAGTGAAGTTAATAGGGGTCCAAGAATTAGGTGATGGAATTTAAAAAGATAGAAAATAAATTTATTTAAGAATAACTTGATAAAAGCAGTTATGTGGCATGAGATGACTAATAGTATTTTGAAAGTAGCAAAAGAAGTTTTAGGAGAATCTAGAGAAAAAAGGCATTTGGACCATGAAGCTTACTGATACAGTGATGAGGCTATTAACCAAAAACAATTATATTATAAAGCTTAGCAATATAATATAAATGATTAAAACTTAAAAGAATATAAAAATGCTATGAAAAAGGCAAGAAAATATTAAGGCTAAACTTAAGGCATATGATGATTTATACAAGAAGTTAGAACAAAAGATGTGTCCAAATTAACAAAAATGATAGAGAGGAAGTATAAGAATCTAAACCGTGTTAAACGCATTAAAAGTGAAGATAAGAAGGTCTTGATGAAGGATGACGAGGTTAACGACATGTATAGAATTTATTTTAAAAAATTGTTAAATGACGAACACTGTGAGAGCATAGTGCTAGGTGGAAGTTTTGACATTAATGAGGTCAGGAATTATCGATACATCCATAGTATTAGGACATCAAAAGTAAACAGAGCTTTGAGAAAGATGAAGATAGAAAAGACTTTAGTACGATATGCTATCCGAAGAGAGATTTGGAAGTGCATAGGAGAAATTGGTATATCTTTGTTGACTAAGATATTCAATAAGATGATGAGAATAAAGAAAATTCCAAATAAATAGAGACAATGTACTGTGATTCCTATTTACAAGAATAAATGAAACTTATAAAGCTATGTGAGCTATTAGAGGATCAAACTTATGAGCCACATTATGAACCTGTGAGAGAGAATTATTGAGCAACGAATAAGATATGAAATGAGTGTATGAGAAAATCAGTTCGGTTATATGCCAGGGAGGCCTACTTAAACAATAGATTGAGAAGTTTAGAGTCAAGAGAAAGGACCGCCAGATGGTTTTTATTGATTTAGAGAAAGCATACAATCGACTACCTGAAGAGTTAATTTGGTGGGTGTTGAAAAATAATGGAATTATGAAAGACATTATCATGGTGATATATATGCATGAGGAAGCACTACCTAACGTGAGGACAACTAGTGGAGAGACAAGCGAGTTTTTAGTGACAATAGGCCTACATTAGGGGTTAGCGTTGAGCCCGTATTTCTTTATTTCTGTTATGGACGGGTTAATTAAGAATCTACAGGATGAGGTACAATGGTATATGGTTCACGGATGACATAGTTTTGATTGATAAGACTAGAGACGGTGTCGATACAAAATTAGAACTTTGGATGGGTGCTATGCAATCTAAAGGTTTTAAAATTAGATGGACTAATATAGAGTATATGGAATGCAAGTTTAGTAATGATATGTATAGCAACGAGGTAGTAGTTCTGAATGATGACCAAAAAGTACATAAAATATATTATATCTAAGGATGATAATCCACGAGAATGAAGAGATTGAAGAAGATGTTGCACATAAAATTAGGGTGGGCAAAGTAAAGATGTGCTTCCAGAGTTTTACGTGGTCGTTGCATACCAGTGAAACTAAAGGGTATATTTTTTAGGGTGCTTGTAAGATCAGTTATGCTTTATAGGATGGAATGTTAGGCGGTCAAGAAATAACATATCCATAGAATGTGTATAAGTGAGATGAGAATGTTGAAATGAATGAGTGGCACGACCAAATGATAGAATTAATAATGAATACATTTGAGGGAACTTAGGGGTGTCTCCAATAGGTGATAAGATGAGGGGAAATAGACTTAGGTGAACCGGCTATATGTAGTGTTGACCCTAAACATGACCGATTAGGAGCGGCAATTTAGCTTAAGCATAAGGCCCTAAAAGGGCAAGGGAAAAGGCTAAAATAATATATATGGAAGTAGTGAGAAAAGATATGGGGCTTATAGTCTAATTGAAAACTTGATAAAGTAGAATGGTGTAACAAGATTTGCATGGACGACCCCAAATAGTAAGGATAAAACTTGAATGATGATGATGATAACATTTTATAATCACTGTTGGAATAGATTTTTAAGCCTTAATAAAATTTCAGACACTGAAACTATCGGCAAAATTGAGAGGTGCGCCTTACACATACAGCATATGATGAGCACCTTATACAAACCTCACCCAATTTTACCAGAGGTTTATTGAAAGGTTTTTTTTGGTATAATGACATATTATTGCAGCATCTTGTTTCTTCAACGTCATTTTTTTTTGAAAGTTACTACGAAAATCATGCCTCTTAAAATGTGCATTGGAAATACCGAGTCTTTTTTGAAAACTTCATGGTTTAAACCGAGTATTCATAACTTTGTCCTAAACCATGTGTTTGAAAGATGAGAAAGAGGAGGGGGACCCATGATGCCCATTTTATGCTCACTTTACGCACCATGAGAAACAAAGGGGGTGACATCATGCTACATTTTAGAGTATGTATATCTATATTGGTATACATCATTATGAATAGATATGTATATGTATGGATATATATCTCTTAGGTATCTCTTGATTATGATAGATTAATTAATAGTTATTCATAACCGTTGGTATTTATCTTTAATTATATATTATATATGAATCAATTACTAATGAGAGAGTTCGCAATATTATGAAAGAATCTTCTATGGGGCCTAAGGCTCAAATATACAGAAATACAGTTTCTAAAATTTTTTCATCTATTTTGAGTAGGGGTAGCAGATCCATTGCTACCCTATGACTATGAGTTTCTTTTTTTTGCCAAAAATACTGTAACTGTTGTCAATTTTTCCATCTATTTTGAGTAGGGGTAGCGGATCCATTGCTACGCTATGATTATGAGCTTCTTTTTTGCCAATAATACTGTAACTGTTGTCAATATTGTGACAATATGAACACCTAGCACGCGTCTGATGAGACACATGATTGTCATGATAAACCCTATGACTACGGGTACGGGTCGGACCGGTTGGACCCAGACCCTTACCCAAACCCAAGTAGTATTCGGGTATAAAATTTGGACCCCATACCCGAATCGAGGTTGGGTATACCCATCGGGTCCCGGTTCTAGTCGGATCTATGGTCCCTCCTCTTCCCCTAATTTTGGGGTTGGGTATACCCATCGGGTCCTGGTTCTAGTCGGATCTATGGTTCCTCCCCTCCCCCTAATTTTCCCCTAATTTTGAGGTTGGGTATACCCATGTGAGGTGCCGGTTCTAGTCGGATCTATGGTCCCTCCCCTCCCCCTAATTTTGAGAGAGAGAGGGGTGTTAATTTGGGCTAATTGGAGATTTAGAGAATAGGAGTTGGGGCGAAATGGAAATGGATCACACTTAAATTAAGGAGGAGACCGGTGTGATTATAGAAAAACACAGGCTTCATGGAAGGGAGGGTCCATGTGACCTCCAATTTATATAAGTTAAAATCCGTCCCTTTCGCTATTGATTTAAAGATTGGATATTTGGTTGCACGTCGTCTATAAACTATCGAACTGTCCATCTGTTAAATGACGGCCATACATAAATCTCCACCCTCAATCATAACACCCCCTCTCTCTCTGTACTGGTTTTCCGGCCATACCAAAGTTCTCCGGGCATTTTTCGCCTGATTTCCGGCATTCGATTTTGCCGTATAACGCGACGGTATGACGCAATTGTTCATACCTTAGGAAGAGAAACTCGTCAGCACACTTTTAGAATTCATGGAGCTTCATCAACATAAAGTGGCTTGTTTCAATTCTTTCAATGAATCAACGGAGGAGAAGACTCAAGAGCCTGAGATCCTAAGTGATTCCGGCCAGGTTCATGCCAGACAACCGGTTTTGGGGGGTTCGAAGACGGAAACAAAGGGAGCTGCTGCTTCTTCACCCAAAAGAAGGTGAACCAACAAACACCATTTCCTCCAATTTTTCAATGGGAAGCAACTTGTTGTTTTCTTCTTAATCCAAAACCAGGTGAACCATGAAACTCTTCATGATCCAATTGTTTATTGGAAATAATGATTTTGTTAATGTGAACCGAGAGATCATTTGCTCCATTTCTTTTAGAGGGCATAACCTTTTCATTCTCTATACAAAGGAAGATAAAACGCGTTTTTCTATGGCATGCATCAACCACTCTCATATTTGCCATGTAAATCAAGTTATTTGAGAGGTAAATAGCACACAATAAATGCTTTATTAAAACATGAAAATCAATTCCAATAAATTTTTTAGTATTTTACTTTTTTGAATTTTGATAGATAGATCGAGCAGATTAATACTAATGATAATCCATAGTCACATAAGCTAATAAAAAAAAAAAAAAACCGAAAATTATGGCTTGTTTTATACTCTTAATCCATGTTTGAAAAATCAGGCGGTCCACTCGAGCCTGGCAGGCCACGGAGCTTAGAAGGATAGGCATGGGCATTGGCCTTGGCTGAATCCTATTATTTGATTTTTCGTTATTTTCTTCTTCTTTTTTTTTTTTGCATAAACTCGTCATTCTCCTCAGTCCCGAATAGGAGTCGGGACCTTCGAGTCCCACGCGAGTCCGTTCATTGTTTGAATTATTACGGGGAAATGCAGGCGGGTTGTAGAGAAGAGAGTGATCTCAGTCCCAATTGGAGGCGATCTAGAAGGTTCACGGCCAAGAGGGGAGGGAGCTCCACCGTCCGATTCATGGGCTTGGAGGAAGTACGGACAAAAGCCCATCAAAGGTTCTCCATATCCAAGGTAACACCCACCCCGATTCTCTTCCCCTCCTCTTCATTTTTACACGAAAACTATGCCACGATCGCTTTCCTTCAAATTTCATCAAAATTACCGCTTTGTCCCTGCGGCTGTCAAATTCGTCTCTCGCCAAGCCAAGCTGGTATTTTTCTAAAAATGACCATATTATCCGTAACATTCAGCTAAGTGACCAGCGCCCTCTTAAAACTTATGAAAATGACCATAATAGCCCTCCTCCATTAACATAGTCTCGTCAAATTGCTCCCAAATAATTAAATTAAGGCGCACCTAAAAAAAACAGTAGACGAAGTTGTTTCGATGTTGAAAAACTCTTAGATCTGATCATCTGGGCCTTGAAATACATGGACATAAGAAAAAAAGGAACTTCAAGCTTTGAAAATATTGCATCTAGTGTATTATCTAGACCGTCGATTTTCAAGATTTTCAAGTGTTTATAGATCGTTTTGATATACAATATTTTTGAAAAAAAAAATTTCATAATTAGAATATGAAAATAAATTTTCAATCTATTATAAAGATTTAGAGTATGAAACGATATCTTTTGATAGTATTTGAAGGCATGCCTTACTTTGATTATTTAGATCCTCAACCTTATTTAAAATACACCCTTAATAAATTTGAGCACGTATATTATGTTTACGTATATTATGTTTCCAATCTCCTGCGGGAATGTTACGTACATTTGCTCCCTCACTCAAAATACTTACTGATGTTGATTTTTTCAGTTCTAAATTTTGAGAACCACCTACAAATTACTAGACAATTATTTTAAGAGAAAAATTAAAATTTTAGATCTCGTACTTCCAAAAATGGATAAATCTCTGCTCAATGTTGATAATTTTTTTTATTGCGACCTTGAGAAATACATAGCATGTAGAAAAAATATACAATAAAGCTATTTATTTTTGGTACAAGATGGCCATAATTAGTTTTCACCATTGGATGTGAAATTCGATGACTACATTTATTCCATTGACCAAGTTGAAATTTCAAAAGAAATTTTTGCGAAACACATCCAAGCTATTAGATTTCACATCGGATGGTTTGTAATTAATTTGACTTCTTTGTATCAATGGTAAATAGTCTTATTGTATACGATTCTTTTTTTTTTTTTTTTTGTTTTTTTCAGCTTAATTTTTGGGGTGAAGACCGTTATTGTCCTTTTAGCAGGGGGAAAGGGCAATATGGCAAAATATTGACACATGTCACGTCTTTATTGGGTGCAGGGGATACTACCGTTGCAGTAGCTCAAAGGGTTGCCCCGCTCGAAAACAAGTGGAGAGGAGCAGGGTAGATCCGTCAATGTTAGTCGTCACCTACGCCTGCGAACACAACCACCCCTGGCCCCCAACCTCCTCTCGCGGACCACCAAACAACAACAACCCTAGGATTCCGTCCAAAACCCTAAAGGAAACCTCACCGGAAAATCACAAAATCTCGGACCACCCACCTGAGATTACGCCGGAGATGGAGTTTGAAGCCGGAGATGGCTTCCAAAGCCACGATCTTTGCTGGTTTCCAGGTGTAGACATGCTCCAGAGCTCTGCTTACGTGCCGGACGACGGCGGAGAAGGGGTTTTCGGTCGAGAGGTTTTGGGTGACGAGGAAGTATTCCGTCAGGAAATTAACGGTAAGGATGAGGAGTGCTTCGCGGATTTGGGGGAATTGCCTGAGTGCTCGGTGGTTTTCCGTCGGGGCTTGTTCGAGATTCAGGAAGCAGCCGCTTCGTGGTGTGGAAACACGGGGTAAAATGACGAAAATTGCCCCTTCCTTGTGTAGAAACGGCAGATTCATCCGGCCGTTTTAATGGAAATGCCGGATCACTCCAGCACCGAAGAATATTCCTGTTATGCCTCACAATTGTGACAATTCTTTTCAGAAGTCCGATTCCTACCACTCAACTACCCAAAAAAAAAAGAACAAAAAAAGACACCCAACCTGGAAAATTCCATGCAATAAATGACTATGATGAGTATTTTCTAAGAATTTCAATGGGATTGTATACAATGAGACTATTTACTTTTGATACAAAGAGGTTACAATTACTTGCAATTATCTTATAAGAAATTTGATAGTTTCGATATGTCACAAAGTTCGAAAAATTTCGTTTGAAGTTTGAGCTTGATCAATGAAATAAATACATCCATCCAATTGGACATCCAATGGTCAAATATTAATTATGACCACCATGTATCAAATATAATGGTCTCATTAGATGCTTTTCTATGTTAATTGATGACTATTTTGCTCATTGTAATACTTTGTATAAACAAGCATGTACTCACTTGATGCTAGCCAAGAATGAGGGCGCAATTGTGAATGTGGGGGTGCCCTTTTTTCTTGGATATGTTAACGGTGGGAATAGAAGGTGGGATTAAATCCTATTCGTACTTATGCATTATGTATGGCTACTTAGTTTTAAAACTGGTGCCTGGAGGGCATGCATTCTCGATTCCCCAATTTGGATCGGCCATTTTGGGATCTTGATCAATACATCCATAAAACTAAAAATAAGAAAAGTAGAAAACTTGATGGAATCATGTGGTTCTAGAGATTCCCTAGAACCGAATCGTCCCCCACCAATTTCAGGTGGAACACGGTCCCGGTTTGAATGGTGAGGATATTTTGGTAATTTTTTCTCAGTCCAAACCTTCCCTTGTCCTCTTCTTCTTAAGAGTATCTTGCTGGCAAAGGGGGATTATAAATACAAGGGAAGGCGCATGCATCGCGGCTTTCTTAAGATAATCTTCTTTTATATTAAATATTGGGAAATAGTATTGAATAGTCCACAATAATCGGTTTTAATTAAATGTTGAGAAGGAGAAAAAAAGGTTAGATGGAGTAAATTATAGGAAGAAAGTCCAAAGCTCGTCTTAATCTCCTTGGAAATGGCATCATAGTCTTAAACGCTTCCGAATTTAATTCATAGTTTTTGCATCCAAGAGTAAATTTGGGATCTCTCCTTGCCTCTTGGCCACTTGCTTCTAGTATGGGGAAAGATTTGATGCTTTTATTTGAAAAAGAAATGTAAAAGTGGTGGAGGAAACTTCAAAAATCGCACATGCTTTTGGAAAATTTCCAATTAAACAACTCCTTGACACGCTACATGAGCAAACCACAACAAATAATCACTCTCTCTCTCTCTTTCTCTCTCTAAATTTTAGTTTATTATGGTTAAGTCAGCCGTGGAATGCGAACCAGTAAAGCAAGCAGTGTAGCAAATGTCAACTGCCTAACTAGAGGAGCCGTGGTTGATCTGGTCAAAACATTACATTTTATTTTTGATTTGACAAGTGGTGATGGTTTATGGGTCCTAAAAAACCAGATTTAGCTGTTATTTGGCTTGAAGTTAAATGTGATTTGCTTTAGAGTCAAATAGTTCTGCAAAACAATGGAGAGGACTTTGATTAAAGTCGGTCCTTGTATATAAAAAAAGTTAATAATGGTGCAATGTACAATGGAGTGATGCAGAGGGCCATAACCCACACCAGAAAGGGGTAGAGAGGTGAAGCTAGTTGAGAGAGGGAATTTAGAGTCTTATAGAGTATTGTGAGAGGTTTAGACAGTGGGCTTAGTTTAGAGAGAGAAGTCTCAATGAGAGACTAAAGAAGGTTCTAAAAGGATTGAAAAAACAAATAAGAATGCCAGAGAAGAATGAAGAGAAATGTGAGTTTTTAAAGAAGTAAAAAAGTGACCACAAGCTTTAATGAAAAAAGAAGAAGAAATTACAAAGAGAGACAAGTATAAATACAAATATAATAAGGCTTAATAATTGATGAAAAAAAGGGTTATTTATTACTAGAGAAGAAGACAAGCAAAAAAAAGGTACTAAATGAAGAGAAAGTAAATAATTGAAAGGGTAAGGAAAAATTTAGACAATAATAGAAATAAATAAGGGGGAGAGAGAAACACATAGAATTCTACGAAGTGAACTTAATAAATGATGAAAAGTAGAGAAGGGTTTATAGAAACTAGAAACATTGACTCTATTTTTGGGAATTTTGATATTTAATGATAATTCAAAGAGGCACAGAGAGAGACATAGAACCCTTTTTTTTTAAATTTATTTACTTATTTTTATAAATAGAAGTTACCTGAAAAACGACCAACATAGAAGTACAAAGAAAATAGGTGAAAAGCTTGACGAAAGGGGATGAGTACTGTGCTCAACCGCCAACATTTCGCTGAGATATCATTTTAAGGACTGCGACTTGCTGACTCCCTTGATTAGATTAGTTATCAGAATAGTTAACAACACCTCACATGCTCCTAATCGAATTACGCTCATAGTAAAAAAAGAGATTTGTTGTCCCGAATTTCGTCCGGACACGGGGTAAGACAAGTTCACCAAAGGACCATTAGAGCACAATAACTCTACTGGACTTGGTTACCCAATTATTTTGCAAACTGTAAACTCAACTTTACTTATGCTTTATTTCACACAAAGTAAATACATATTTATAGTGAAACACAACACGACTTACCGCACAATGGTTTACAAAACCATGGGCTAAATCATAGATGAAAAAAAAAAATCATACAATACCCTGATACATCAAGTACATCTACATGTCACTTATATAGTACCCTGGTATATCAAGAACATCCATATGCTACTCTTATTTACATTCACTTAAAATAAAATATAAAAGTAACAAGTACAAAGCCATAATTACATATACTCGGCTCTCATTCTTCCGCACACTAAAAAAGTAAATAGTAAAACCACTCATAAAAAGTAAATTCACTTTTCATAAAGTAAAACTACTTCAAGAAAACCATGTATGGTTTCTTTGTGAGATATTTTGAGATGATTTTCGTGACTCCTCTGGTGACTCATCTTCAATAATGCTGTTGAATTCTTTGTAATGAGTCATATAAAAATGTCCTCATGCTTGGCAATTCTTGCAATTTTTAAAATTTTTGTAAAAGTTTTATAGTAGTTGTAATGATATCAGTGGCTTTATGTTGAACGCTTCATGAATATAAAGAGTTTCGACTTTATATACTTTGAATAAACCTTGATCAGTGAAATTAATCATTTGAAAATATTTACATAAATTTGGTTAAGTGCCTCGATCTCGCCCTCTTGATCTAGGTGATCTGGTGGCACGTGTCTCAGGTTTCTGGTGAACCTAAGATTTGAGATTGCTGTCTTGGAACCTTGCTCGGGGCAAGGGTAGGTATATCAACCAATGAGAGAGAAATTTTAAGTGGGTTCGGGATATACTCGGGCTGACTCGCGTGGGTGCCCTCTTTGATAACGAAGAAGGCCCCGAGCTTCTTGAGCTGGTTCGGAATCGCTTCCCTTGACTTGTAATCCTCTTGTTTTTCTGCGCAACATTTCTATGGTTAATTTGTAAGACAAGTGGGTCAAAGGGACCTACTCTTGTCTTAGGGCAATGCACATTCACATAAAAAGACGATGAAGTGCAAGGTTCGGTGAAAAATAGAAAAGAGAAGAGAGCTCGAAGTAGGGGTGAGACTAGCATGACAACCAGAAATTACCGACTCGGAGTGGTAGCAAGACGGGCATGGTTCTCAGGACCAGCACGACGACAATACTACTCGAAACCGAGGTCACGTTGGTGATAGGCTAGGTCTACCCACAATCAAGTGAGAGGAGAAAGAGATGAAGAGGAAAGAACGAGACGACCAAGAGAAGGGGAAATCCAGACTTCAATAAGCATCGCGATAGGCAATGCAAGGAGATGACGCATCCCTTGTGGACGACGCTAGCTCCTGACGAGGCGCACGATGATAGTTTCTCCTAAGTCGCACGACAATAGGCTCGGGACGTAGGGAGAACAACGATAAGCACCGGGCATGCGGAGGAGACTCGCGGACGGCGATAGGTGTTGCCAAAGCCCTTAGCGGGTGGTGATATGTATCGTTGCTTACACTAGACACGTGGCAGGAAAAGACCCCTGCAGGTGGCAACAAACCTTGCTGTTTAGGTTCTTCACCGAGATATCAAAGCTGTGTCTGTGGGTGGTGATGGGCATTGCCATCTACAGGCCTCACTTAAAGGAAAAAATAGATAAGTAGAAGGGGAAGGAGACTCGCACATGGCACTGCCATCGCCATGCATACCCTGTGAGACCAAGGGGGAGGCATGCATGGCACTTCCACTGCTGTGCATGGCCCCTACGAGGAACTCAGGTGAAGCAGGAGAAGAGAGGGGAGAAGATAAAAAAAAGAAGAGAGAGAAAGTTTACCTCAAACTTAGGGGTACCAGTCAAAAGTTTCTCTCACCTCACTCCCTCTCTCAAGCGTGACATAACAATGGTAAGAAAGATAAACTTGTATTAAGTGAAAATTCTCTCTTGTGTGTATGCCTCTATCTCTCTTTTTTTATCGTACAATGATGGTATGTATATATAGAAGTGTGCCCCAAACATGGGTGGATGATCAAAAGTAACCCTAATTGCTGGAAATTAAGATTAAATTGAATTAAAAGAAATTAAAAAATAGGGTACAAAATGATAGATTTACCCCTTCTTAACAAGTTGTAAAATTCCAGAATAGTCCCTGTGTTGCCCTAGGACTTGCGTGATCGTGCATGGTTGATCTGGGGTCGTTTTGATGCCTGGTTGATCATACGATGATTGGTTTTTTGTAGGGCTCGACATGACGATCGATTTGATACGAACTTCGAGTCATGGATTGTGTTTTTGATATATAATCATGTGACTTAAAATTTGAGTAGATCTTGAAACTTTGGATAGATAGTGTGTTTGTTCCTTGATTTTTTTTGTGTTCTCTTCGCTGAATCACTCTGAGGATGCCACTAGGATCATGGGGCACCAAACACAGCTCGATTCCATGGCCTAATGAAGATTTTGCAAGTTTTGAATTTTGGCTGGAATCAAGGATTCCAGTGATGAAATTTACAGTCTGTTTGTCGGCTTCGTGTGTGTACAAAATCCAATCGTTAATCATGTATGAGGTTTGGTTCAGAGATGGCCCAAGACCTTACGCCCGTAATGGAATTGGTCTTGTGTCAATCGGGCTCATGAGCTGCGTGATCAGACCACTTG